TCCAACCTGCTCTCCGATGGCAATTCCATATTTCCTTCTGGGCCGTGTCCGATTTATTCTCCGATCGTGTTCCCCCCCCTCCTCGAGTCTCCTTCTGGCCCAGGCCCGCTCCGATCGCGTTTCCAATCCCCCTTCAGGCCTGTTCCCGATCTGCTTTCCATTCTCGTCCCCCCCGTCCTCGAATTTCCTTCTGGTCCATGTGCGATTTGCTCTCCGATCGCGTTTCCCCCCTGATCAAATTTGTTTCCGACCCGTGTCTGATGTGCTGTCCGATCGCGTTCCCCGCTACTCAAATTCCTCCTGGCCATGCCTGAGCTACTTTTCGACTGCGTGTCGCCCCACCTCGAATTTCCTTCGGGCCCGTTTCCGATTTGCGTTCTGATCGCCTCATCGAATTTCCTTCTGGCCTATGTCTAACGTGCTGTCTGATCGCGTTTCCCCCCTCTTCGAATTCCCTCACAGCCTGTCTCCGAAGTGCGTTCCCATCGCGTTCAACCCTTCCTCGAATTTGCTTCCAGCCCGTTTTCGATCTGCTTTCCAATCGCACTTTGCCCCTCCTCGACGTTTCTTCTGGCCATTGTCCGACCTGCTTTCCGATCCTTCCGCGAACTTCCTTCTGGCCCGCTCCCGGTCTGCTTTCCGATCGCGTTTCGCCCCTCCCGGATTGGATGCGTATGCGTCTTGGGGGATCTGGTAGGCTGCTTGAAATATCCTCGAGGTATTTTGGGAGGTTGCCGAGGAGCTGTCTGGGGGTCTACCGGGGGCTCTCCTGGGTCGCCGTCGTCGCCGACGACGACGACGAGGTTGGCTCTTCGGGGCCTCTCTGGGGGTATCTCGGAGGTCTCGGGGACCCCCTTGGAAGCGCCCAGGGGGCCGGCTGGCCTGGGAGGAGGCTGGATCGGGGGGATGCCTTGGAAAATGCATGCTGGGGGTCCCCCTGTTCAGCCCCTCTTGGGGCCTCCAGAACTCGCCATCGCTCGGACGTCCATTCCCAGTGCATTTTTCGATTTCGTGCGTGTGTTTTTTTTTCGCAAGGCGGTCCAAGATGCTCCTTTGTTGGTCCTCGCCGAGGGAAGATGCACACGTCCGAACGATGCCAAGCTCTTGTGGCCTCCAGAGCAGTCTCGGGGCCACCGATGGCCCGCCTTGGGGCCCTGATGGGTGCGGCTGGGGCCATCCTGAGGCGATCTCTGCAACCTCTTCGGCTATCTTGGGTGTTCCGACGCCAGAACAAGAATCCAAGAAAATGCTTTCAAACCCTCCAGCACATCGACAGTTTAAGACTAAGCCAGGACGAAGATCAAATCAAGTAAAGATACAGCGATCATCTCTCAGATCTGGCGGATCTGGAGGATGTCTCAGGCGCCGCCGCGTTCCCAACGGAACGCTCTAAGAGCGCTCCAGGACGCTCTGAACGGATTTATCCTCGTCCTAACCCCGTCTGATAGTTTCTGCCTCAGGAGGCGCTTTTCCGTCTTGGGGCGCTCTTGGGCCGTCGTCTTGGGCTCTCCTGGGCGGTCTTGGAGCTCGGGCCTCTCTTGGGCCAGGACGGCGGCGCCCCTCGAGTGAGGCCGGTCGGTGACGCAGCCGTTTAGGGCCAGGCCAAGAATGTGCACGGGGCTATCCTGGCACGTAGGCTGCCCAGTATTGTGGTATCAATTTTGGGATAGCGAAATCTGTTCGAACTGGCCAGGAGGCTCCCACGAGGCCCCCCAACAGGCTCCACATTCCTCTCCAGAGGCCCCGGAGAGGCTTCCGAAGAGATCCCGAGAAACATCCCTGAGGACTCTGGCCCACGTCAGCGTCGTCGTCGTCGTCGTCGTCGTCGTCGTCGTCGTCGTCGTCTCTCTTCAGGGCCGGCGGCACTGGCCGTAAGGCCTTCGCAATCTGTTCGAACTGGCACGCGATGTAGCTAATACTGGGAAGCGCTGACGAGCATCGTTCCTGATGATGTCGGGCCCGAGGCCCGAGCCACGAGCAAGAAGTGAGCAGGGAGGGGCGGGGAGGAGCGAGGGAGGAGGGAGGGAGGAGTCGGCGGGGGGCTTTCTGGGATATCCTTGAGGCCCTCTTGGGGCCGCGTGGACTGGCAGGAGGGAGGTGCGAGGAGGGAGGAGGATGGAGCTTGTAGCCAGGAGTGAGGGGCGAGGAACCATGAGAGAGGTGCGAGCAGCGAGAAGCGAGAGGAGCAAGGAACGAGGAAAGAGGGGCGAGGAGCGAGGGGCTTGGAAGAGCGCTGGGAAGCTGCCAAGGGGGCTCCGTGGACTACCGTCCGCGGGAGCGGAATCGCATGCAAGGGCGGGGATCGCTTGCTTGCCTGTCTGCTCGACCGCTATCCTGGTTGCGTAGTCGCTAGCCTGGTGGCTTGACATCTTCTGTGGATTTCTGTTTTGCTTGCTTCGTTGGTTGCCCGTCCTCTTGCTGCTGCTTCCTGCCGCTTGCTGATGCCTTGGTGCTGCTTGCCGCAACTTTCGACGCGCATGCTGCAATTCCTCGCCGCTACGGGCTGCTGTTGGCCGTTGCGTGCTGATTCGTGATCCAGGCGCTACTTCGTACTGCTGCTGCTGGTTGCTGGCTGATGCTGCGTGTCTGATACCATGTGCTGCTGCTTGTTGCCGCTGTTGCGTGCCGTCGGTAACGCTAGCCGATGCTGCGTGCTGTTGCTGCTTGTGGCTGCAGGGTGCTGATGGCCAGTACTGCTTGCTGTGTGCCGCCGCTGCTGCTGCTGCTTGCCTTGTGCTGCTGCCGTTCGCTGTTGCTGTTTGATGCTGCAAGCTGCTGTTGCTGCTCTGCTTCTCGCTACTCCTCCTAGCTGGCGCGAACTGGTGCTCGTGAGGGGGTCGATGAGCAGCGAGCGAAGAGTCAGGATCGAGGAGGAAGGAGAAACGATGAGTGATCAACGAGGAGAAGGGAGCGAGAAGGGAGGAGCGACGGCCGAGGAGGGAGGCGCGAGGAGGGACGAAGGGGAGACAAGGAGGGAGGAGGGAGGTGCGGGTAGCCTGGAGGGAGAGGCATGGGCTATAGGAGAGGGGAGCAGCGAGAAGAGCAAGGAGCTAGGAGAAATGCACGAGGAGCGAGGAGCAAGGGTGAGGAGCCATGCGCCCTGGGCGAGGAGCGTGGAGCGAGATTCGGCGGGGGCCAGAAGCGGCCAGCACATGAACCTCCCAATGGCTTCGGCGCGCGTGTAGCCGAACATCTGCTCGCCTCTTGGGTCGCCTATGTGGGTCCCTTAGGAACTCCTTGGGGCCTTCTTGGGATCTTCTTTTGGGCTTCTTTGGGGCGCCCTCCCAAACTTTCTGGGGCCATGGAGGCGTTCCTTGGAGCCTCTGGGAAGGGTCCGGGGGCTCTCGGGTGGTGCCTTGTGGCTATCTGGGAGCGGTCGTAGGCCGTCATTGGGCCGTCTTGGGGCCATCTTGGAGGCCCACTGGGCCCATCCTGGACCGTCTTGGGGGAGCCATGGGCCTTTCTGGACGCTCTTGTGGGCCTCACCCAGGGGTCCTCTTGGAGGTGCCTCGGGCCTTTTGCGCAGCAGCCATCTGGGGCGGATAAGTGGAGAGTAGCGACAAACATATTGAACCCTACAAGATTTGTTGATTTTCGCCTGTCGGCGGCGGCATCGTGAAGCGTCTTTGAAACGCTCTGGGGCCGCCTGAGGCCCTCTGGGGGCTCCACAAAAAAAAACTGGGACGTCTTGGAGAGGCTCCGGGGCCGTCATGGGATCTCAAGACTGCTCTGCGGCGAGATTTCTTTTGGGCTCCCGAGGGCCTCCGGGGGCAGAGAAAGCCTGACTGGTGCACAGGCCCTCTTGGCACCCGCGGGCTTCTGCATGAGACGTTGGGCTCCAGCTGCGCCTCCCGCACCTCGCGGAGCAGCGCCAGCGCAGGCTGCCACTGCTCGCCATTCCCGCACGCGCTGATCCCAACGCTGCAGCTGATGACGTTGGGCTCCAGCTTCACCTCCCGCATCCCCGAGAGACTTCAATTTTGGAGTCTCTCGGGGATGTGCGCCAAAGTCGAAGCCCATCCGAGGCGTCTCGGGAGCGCCTGGGGAAAGGCTCGGAAGGCCTTCGGGTGAAGCCACGGGGAGCGCCCGGGAGGCCCGCACGGATCTCCAGGGAGGGCCCAAGAGAACTTCAAGAGGGTGTGAAATTTCACAAAATCTGAACCCGAACCGCTGTTGGGTCGGACGTGCTCCGCTACGTTGGGGAAACCGTTTTGTTGAAATTCTGTGGAAGGCGAAGCTCTTCCGGGCGTGTCAGGAGCGCCGGACCCCCGTCTCTTGGAGGCAATGCTGAAGCCTCTTTCGGTCTCTTGCGGGGGTTGAGGGCCTCTCAGGTCCTCTTGTGGGCATCTTCGGGACCTTTCGGGGCCCTCTTGGGTCGTCTGAGCTTCTCTTGGGCCGTCTTGGGGCCACGTTCAGAGCTCCGCACGTCATCTGGACCCTCATGAGGCTCTCTCCTGGGCCTTTTCGGGTTTCCTCCTCCTCCTTCTCCTCCCGCTCCTCCGCCTCCTCCTCCTCCTCCTCCTCCTCTTCCTTCTTGCCTCGATCCTGCATGCCCTGGATCTTGGATCGTCAATCGTAGACCCTCGGAGCATCGAAAACGGCTGTCGGGGCCTGCGTTCTGCCTCTCACCTGGGGTGTGCCCGAACCGAAGCCTCACCAGTTGGCGCAGCCCCTTCTTTGTTATTTCTTTGATTTTCCTTTCTCACTCTCTCTCTTTCTATCCTGGGGGAGGCGGCGCGCACGAGCAAGAGCCCCTGTGACATCTGACGTCCAAGAGAGGAGGAAGAGGAGGGAGGAGGAGGAGGAGGAGGAGGAGGAGGAGGAGGAGGAGGAGGAGGAGGAGGAGGAGGAGGCGCGTCTCGGGCACTAGGACCTCCAAGGACCGACCCAAGATGAGCAGCCGTGCCCCGGGAAACTCGAAATGGTCCGTGGGCCGGCGGCTCGACGGCATCGAGCCGGCGCCGCCGGATGCCTTCCTTGGAAGCGAAAAGGGGGCGGTCCTGCGCACGGTTCGAGAGGTAGATCGTCTGCATGCCGTCGGCCTCGGCTGGCAGAGTCCGCGGGACCGCCAAACTCGCGGACTCGGCCGCGAAGCAGACGGAGCACAGGCACGCAGTCAAGACAGAGCCGCTCTGCTGCAGGTCGTGCGCGCAGTGAAGCAGCAAACACGCACGGATCAACCATCCAATGAACGCGTGTCGGGTCAGCGGTCAGCATGAACTCTGCCTAGGCACCAGGAATCATACGCACGTCCCCGATTCAATCATGGTGGCCTGGGTGACCCGCAGTGTCTTACGAGCACAACTTGCGATATTCATTGCGAGTCTGCAGTGGCCAATCAACACTGCAATGCAAGCCATGAATTACATCCTCGAGAACACTTCGACGCAATCGCAACTCTGATTTGAGATTCTGTGCGCTCACCAAGGAAACCTGCGCGATGGAATCCCCGAGCGAAACTTCGACGGCGCTGGCAACCTTCGAAGATACAGCCGAATGCATCACATTATTGCCAGTCTAACTACTGGTCGCTTCGACTATAGCATCAACGAAAAGCAGTCCAATACGTGCCCATGAACAAACAGGTATGGAACATCGTCATGAATGCTGTGCCGCATTTGCTCGCTCAGCGTCCCAAAGCATGACCCTTCCAAGCTGGCAACGTGTGGTTGCATCGAAGCGGGGGCCTCGATGGCAGACGTCAAATCAATGACCGCCTGGGGCTAGCGCAAACTCGATTGGTATTGGTTGCCGTGACACTTGTACCGCAATCGCTTCACGATGGACCCACACCGAGTTCGCAACTGGTGCACAGTTGCCTCACAACTGATACACGTCTGCCTCACATATGGCCTACAACTTAGTCAAACATGGTACTACAACGACGCGACGTCGAGCGCACTTAATTCACATTTGGCCCACGACGAATGCACACTCGGCACAATTTCTAGTCTCGCGTCCTGATATCTCGAGGTTACTTCAGACTTGGTCCCCTACACGTTAACAACTTGGCCACAAATGCTTCGCCAATCGGTGAACAATTGGGGCGTACTCAGATCTCTATCTTGTTAACAGCATTATAACATTACGACCCCATGCCGCTATGGCACGGCGGCGCAGCGACACTGCCACACCGCGATTTCAAGACACCACGACACAATGACACCGAGACGCCACACCACCACAACACAGCGACAGCGCGACACCACGCCAAGAGGCTCGCGACTGCTTCACGACTGAAGTGAACAACGCAACTGCAATTGGCACTGCGACATTCAGACGGCACACGCCCACAATTGCTTCACAAATCAAGCACCATGGACATTCGCTTGATATTCACATGGTTCGCATATACTTCGCCGACTTCTTGCCATTGCTTCAAATATGGGTCCCATCTATCGGAGCATAATGGAGCCGCAACCAGTTGAGACACTATTTACATCTGATCCCTTTTGAACTACGGCTGGTTCACATAACGACGTCACGACACAGCGGCATCACCACACCACGGCGCCACGACAGCACGACAGCACGACACCGCGACACCGACATACCACATCATCGTGGCAACACGACGTCGCGACACAGCGACGAATAACTCATGCTTGATCCAGCAATTCATTTGCACCTGATTGCCGATTCACGAGTCACGCAAACAATAAGTCAAAATCGCGGCGTACGAATTCATAACCGAATGGGACTGTTGAGTACAAGCTATTGGAAGGCTGCGTTTAACAGCGAAACACATACAACAAACACTACAATTCAGATTTAATAGATGAACCAAACTTAACGAACACAACATAATTCGATTCCCCGTTCAATTACACTGTTGATTAAGGTATGCGACCTGTTTCCGATCCACGATTCAATCAAACTCATACTTCATAAATGAATCGCGACAGATGAGCTCACGAGATGGTCAACACGGATTCTCAATTTTCCCAAATCGATTCGGATTTTCCCGATGATGATATCCCGCCGACGGGAACGCAGGTTAACCATCAGCGCCGATCCACTCAACAGTCGTCAGAGAGCTGCACGCGGGGGCCTGGAGCGCAGAGTGGGGCGATACGAATCAACCCGACAGCGTATCAAAACAACTGGGGAAGGGAGGAAGGGGAGGAGAAGATGGATGAGGGAAGCTGAGGAATACTCCAAAGCACCTCGAGCAACGCTCAAACCGATCTGCCACAATCGAACCTTGGCGCACATCCGGACCCTTTGAGAACCGAGCTGATCCGGACGTGGTGCGCACCGGAACATTGCAACGCACCAGCGCCGCGAACATGAGACCGCGCCGCCGCCGTACCGCCTCCGCCGACCGCAGCGCCTATCACGCTGGTGCGCAGCTTCGTGCGCACGCCACGACGGCACCGTCTACAACGTCTGATGCCCCAGCGGAGACTGCTCTGACAGCCACACCCGCACCTTCAACTCGTCAGTCGCCGTGGCCTTCGACATTGTGCTTCCACTGCGTGTCTCAATCGTGCGAATGCCTGTCAGAAGCTCGCTATTCCTTCCCCTCCCCGACATCCTGCTTCTCCTCATTATCCTCATCCTTCATCCGCCCTGCTCCCTCCTCCTCCTCCTCCTCCTCCTCCTCCTCCTCCTCGAGCCGTTCTCAGCAGGGTACTCGAACTGCAAAAACACCACGGTTAATATTGGTGGCGACAGCAGAGCCGTTCCGCCTCGTGCAGCCAAGAGCTCCTCGTGTTTTCCTCTCCTCCTCGTCTTCGTCCTCCTCGTCCTCCTCCTCTGCCTCCTCCTCCCCCTCTTCCTCCTCCTCCTCCTCCTCCCATCTCGTCCTCCTCCCGTCTCCTCCTCCTCCTCCTCCTCCTCCTATCTTCCTCCCTCTCCTCCTCCTCCGCCTCCTCCGCCACCTTCTCCTCCTTTTGCTCCTATCTACTCACCCTCCTCCTTCTCCTCCTCCTTGTCTGGAGGCGCCCAGGAGGCTTTCGCGGAGGCATCCGAAGGCCGCAGAGGGCCAATAGAGCACAAAAGCTTCGATCATCGTCCCTCCTAAGGCAGAGAAGACGAGGAGGATGATGAGCAGGAGGAGGAGGAGGACGAGGAGGATGAGGATGAGCAGGAGTGAGGTTGAGAACGAGAACACGGATGATAATGATGATGCCGGTGATGACTGTGATGCTGCTGCTGCTGCTGCTGCTGCTGCTGATGATGATGATGATGATGATGATTCTGATTCCGATGCTGATGATGATGGTGGTTGTGGTGGTGATGATGAGAACGAGGAGGAGGGAGGAGGAGGAATGAGGAGAAGGAGGAGGATCGAGGAGGAGGAGGAGGAGGAGCGAGGAGGAGGACGCCCAATGTAAACCAAATTGTTTTAACGCCGTTGCAATCGACCTTCCCTCCAAGTTGCCTCTTCATATGTCCCTGCACGAAAACTATTTCATTGCGGGACGTGCTCAAGTGGAAAGCACACGCCTGAGAATCCTAATCCGTGCCAGAACACCTTCCCTGAGACATCAACACCGAGAACCAATGTGGCTGTGGCGTCCTGGCAACCCTAGATCGTGCCATGACAGCATTTCTCGGACCTCAACCTTGCGAACCCTTGGGACAGTTGTAAACCATCACAACGGATGCGCGCGACGCTGAAGCGAGAACCACATTTTGAAACGGAGCCGACGTCTGTCTTCGAAACTGTAGCACACTTTCAAAACGAATGTGCGTGGCGCTGACACGATAACCACATTTTGAAAACTACTCGGCCTCCTTCTGTGAAGCTGTTGCGAATTTGTAAAACGATTGCGCGCGGCGCTGGAGCGAGAACTACACATTGAACATGAAACGCCCTCCATCTGCGAAACGGTTGCAAACTTTAAAACAAAAATGCGCGGCACTACGGTAAACCACACACACACATTTTTTGAAATGGCCCGCCCTCCATCCGTGAACCTGTTGCGCACGTTTTAAACGAATACACGCGGCGCTAAAACGAGAACCACATTTTGAAACTTGCCCGCCCCCCATCCGTAAAGCTGTTGCACATTTCAAGCGTCAACATCATACATGGTGAGGGCGTCTCAAGCGAAATAACAGGCCCTCACTACCGACACGTCTGGGGATGCGACAGGGAGTTGTTTATAAGGGAAAGGAATGGAAGAGGATGAGGAGGAAGAGGAGGCGGAAGAGGAGGAGGACGGAGGAGGAGGATGGCCAGTGTAAACTCAAGACTCATGAACGATGCTGGAATACACCCTCACTCCAAGCTTCATCTTCATTTGCTTCTACACCGATTCATTTCCATTGAGGGAAGTGCCGCGTTGGGAGACAACCGTTTGAAGATCCTGAAAAGTGCCAAAACACCCTTGTGGGGACTCCAGCGCCACGAATCAACCTGACTGTTGCGTTTTGACTACCCTGGATCGTGCCAGAATAATGTTCCTGAGACTTCACCACTACGAATCAACGTAACTGTTACGCCCTGACAGCCCTGAGTCCTGCCAAAACGTCACTTCTGGTACGTTAACCATGGGCGCACGTGAAACTCCCAATTAGTTTAAAACAAATGTGCGTGGCGCTAGACCGAGAAACACACTTTGAAAAGGAACCGCCCTGAATCCGTGAAGCTCTTGCATGTTGTGAAACGAATGTGCGCGGCGCTAGGGCGAGAACCACATTTTGAAAACCACCCACCCTCAATACGTGAAACTCTTGCGTTTTTTTTGTTGTTGTACAACGAGTGTGCGCGGTGCTAAAGCGAGAGGCATATTTTGAAAACGACCCGCCCTAAATCTGTGAAGCTCTTGCATAACAGAAAAAACGAGCGTGCGCGTCGGCAAGGCGAGAACACATCTCGAAAACCACCCGCCCTCAATTTGTGAGGCTGTTGCCAACTTCTAAGCTTAAGGATCATAAGTGGTAAGGGAGCTCAGGCGAAACCCTCAGCACGCCCTTCTTAATGGCCTCGGGGTGTAACAGGGGGAGTTAGTTGCAAGGAGAAATAATGGAGCGAGGAGGAGGAGGAGGAGGAGGAGGAGGAGGAGGAGGAGGAGGAGGAGGAGGAGGAGGAGGAGGAGGAGGAGGAGGAGTAGCGAGGAGGAGCGAGGAGTAGCGAGGAGGAGCGAGGAGGAAGAGGAGGAGTCGGAGGAGGCCGAGGAGGAGGAGGAGGAGGGGGAGGGGGAGGAGAAGCGATGAGCGAAGAGCGAGGAGGGTGCTCACTGGGGGCCCCTCGCCGCCTCCTGCCGCGTGGGCTGGGGCGCACCCGGACCCCTCTCCAAGCCGCGCCGATCGCCTGGCGCCCCCTCCCAGGTCGGACGACGAGGGGGAACGACTGATGACAGCAACAGAAGAACTCGGAGGTCCGCGCGGACTCCTCGGCTCGGCGCTATAGGGCCCCCTGGCAGCGCCTCCGGTGCCGCACCTGGCACGCCCCGCTCGCCAGGGAGGGGGGTCTAGCGCCGATCCGAAGAGTCTGCGCGGAACTCCGAAGTTGTACACCCTGCGAAATGCTTAAGAAATCATGGGTTAAGAAATTCATAGTCTCAGAACTTGAGTAGAAGCCCAGAATTTCCATCGAAGTCGTAGGATTTACATGAAAACATTAAGAATAATCGAGACTCTGGACGAAAACTTGGGTTTTCTTAAGCATCGCCTGGGGTGTATATTCATGTCACTGTCGTTCCCCGAGCAATGGGGCATTGGCGAAGCAACTCACGCAGAGTCAGTCAACATCGGATCGGGAAGC